GTCAGTGCAACTCTTAACCCACTGGCCACCACAGATCCCTAAATGACTATAAATGATATAAGATATAACGGTATAACTAAAGGTGTTATATATTATTACTTTAACTGGGCCTGGCCTTGAGTTCAGCCACTGAAAATTTTGAAACACACACACACACACACAGTCACCTGAATATACATACTCACCTGAGAGTACCAATCTGCAAGATTTTCTTCCTTTTTTGCCTCAAGACCCAACCTGTAAATAATCAAATCAAGTAAAAATTTTTCATTCAGCAATTGTTTTTACATTGAATGGAAATAAACCTCCAAGTCCAAATAAGTTTTTATTTCTTGTAAGTAATTTTTAATATTTATAGTTCCTCTATATTAATCTCTCAGATAATGTTGTTTTTAATGCAAATTTTTTAAGAGGTGGTTATATCTTGCCCCTCTTAATTGGGAAGGTATACAAAAAGCTATGATTTTTATAAGGTCTTTTAAAGATAGTATAAGGAGGACAGGATAGTTTGATGACAAAAAGTAACACCAACAATGATTACTCAAACACACCTTTGCACATATAAAAAAGTGTATACATTCTAACAATATTGTAAGTAAAAGTTCCAGAGATATCGCCAAAAGAAACCAAATTTACTTGTAATGAAAATACATTCCAGACCAATAACTCTTTGCATGAGACACCAGGGATCTATTATCTCATGACAAAGAGATGAAAAAATTCACTCATCAGTTAGGTTTCATGGAAGCTTACAAAGCTTTGTTGTTGTTAGGTGCCATCAAGATGAGCATGACTCACAGCAACCTTATGACTAGCAGACTTAAAACCTTTTACTATCAGGTGCGACTCTCATCATCTCTGACACACCGGAGACCATTGCTCTAGTCACTTTGTCTATCTTGTTGATGGTCTTCCTCTCTTTTGCTGACCATCCACTTTTCTAAGTATGACATCCCTTTCCAAAGAATAGCCTCTTCTAGCATCATACACAAAGTAGAAAAGATGACTGCTGATACCAAGGGTGATGATTATGGGTGCCTTGTTTCACTTGGACATTTAAACAAATGTGTATGTGAGCTCTGACCCTTTGAAAAGCAGTCACGGTGCTTATGACATGTTTTCTTCCAGACCTGCAACCTATTCATACATTACAAAGATCAAATGTGAAAAGTTGTCTGCTCTTTCTTTCACTAGCTGACAAATCTTTCATTCAATAGGTGAAAAGAAAAACTAATGCAATTGACTATTAAAAAAGATACTGCATGTATAATCGCAGATATAAGCAGCATCAAAATTTTTCAGCAAAATAAATCTAAAAGTGTATTTTCATGACATTTTTTTAAAAGTTGTTATTGACTCAAAGATAGGTAGACCCCACATGTCAAAGCAGAACTGCACTCCAAGTGTTTTCACCAGGCTTTTCTACTGAGGCACCTCTGGCTGCCTTCAAATCTTTGTTAGCATCTGAGAACATTAACCATTTGCAACACCCTAAAACTTCATCTCAAAATAATAGTTGTCCAAAACCTGCAGTTAGCATAAGAAAACTATATTCACAGTTGCTGACAGCTTTTCTTTTCTTCCTTTCTTTTTTTTTAAAAAATTAAGTCTTTAAACAAAATCTGTTGCAATGCTCACTCTAATTTTTGGGATGGGGTTAGGGGATAGGGTACAAGAATTACAGTATCCATATCCTGAAAAGACATCTCATGCACAGTTTTTCACTTAACTGTCATAAAGTAGTTTCTGCTTTGTCTAAAGCTACCAAATTTTGAAATTTCAATTTTAAAATTATCAATTTTAAAGTCCAACAGAGAATGACCATGAAAGAGATTTTGAGGATGATCCAGAAGAGTGTAAGGTTCAGATCTACTGTTTATAGGATCAATATGGGTCATAGTTGACTTGATAGCACCTAACAACAGAAGAGAATAAATAAAGTTCTCATTCCCAACCAAAGTTCAGATTTGAAGACTATTAAGATGCAAAATAAGGGGACAGTTAATGTCCAAAATGAAAATTTCTCAACAGACACAGAATGAACTAATAGTGGGAAACAATTCAGTATGGTTAGTAGGAAGAGGACAGCAGGGAGCAAAAATTATAGAAGACTTTACTAAGAGTCTTCAACAAGCAAATGAATATATTACCTATTCAGGAAATTAAAGAGAATTTTAAAAATAGTAAAACCCAGCTAGTAACAGCTTAATATTTTTAATGCCTTCTTAGCCAAACTAACAAAAATATGTTTTTTAAAATGCTTATACTTGTATAAAACTTTCTATTTCACTTCAAATTCAGTGTTCCTGTTCTATTACCTGGTTTGTTTTCCATTTTGTTTTTTACCTGGTTTGTTTCTTGGGCCCCTGTCCTTCTCCTGGCCCACCTGATGACTGCCCACTTCCTTGATTTTTAGAAGCATCTTTCCTTGGACCATCATTTTGTTTTTGAGATTTATTCTGCTTTTCAGATTTATTTTCTTTTTCTTTCTTCTTCTTATCTTTGTCCTCAGCCCCAGTAGCAGACACAGGTTTATATTCTACTCCTGTGAGAGACTTATATTGTGCCTTCAACTGAAGCAGCTCTTGTACTGCTGTGTCTACTTGATCCTTCAGTTTAAAAAAAGAGGAAAAAAGATGGTAGGTAATTCAAGCTAAAATTTGAACGCCCTTAATTCAACACCCAAAGCTTGTGAAATGTTTAACATAGTGGCAACTGAAAATAAGGTGACAGAAGGAAACCTAGGATAAACAGGGTCAGAATTATGTAAAAACATAACTGAAAAATGTTATTTGTACTTGTACCAATTAAATGGTACAAGTGGCTACCTAAATTTAATTAAAGTTACGTAAAATTTAGTTCCTCAGTTACAAAGGGCCACATTTCGAGTGCTAATCTGGCTAACAAGTACAATACTGCACAGTGCTGTGATGAAGCCCTGCTACCATCACAGAAAGTTCTACTGGACAGGACAGATCTATAACTTATATTCCATGGGAATCTTGATTAAAAACAATTCCATTACAAAAGCAGAGCATTTCACAATTATAAAAATGACAAGAGTTTTGATATAAATGTCAAAACTTATGACACATGGAGGCCGAGTAGGTCAGTCAGACAACTCACCCCTCAAGTACTGGTGGTTTAAATTCATCATAAAATTTTCAGGAGAAAGATGGGTAATCTCTTCACATGTCTGAGAAATAGCTAGAGGGTCAGCTAAGAGTCAATTTCAACTTAACAGTACAAAAATACTGTGGTGGTACTTATGTGAACATAGTGTATGACTATGATATAAGAAATTATTATTTCAACTACCAGTAGCATCAGTCATGGTGGGCAAGTTTCAGAAAGATGAGAGAAAGTTTGGCAATCTTCTATCAAATATTACCTATTAAAAGTCCTATGGACCACAACAGAACATTGTCACCTTATTTAACACTGAATATAACATAAAATAGGATGTTTGTAGAAAATGGAATGATTGAGATGGTTGGATAATTTATTAATAGTAATTATTTACTTAATAAATAACAAAACACTAGCAAAATTATTAATTCCCTGGATCTCATCATAGAAAGATCTGGTTTGAGAATGAGACAAGGTTTGAAGCTAGGCAACTTCAGAAGTGACTTCATATTCATAATTTACTCACTGGTTTTTAAAACAAAGAAAGAAAGGAATATTATTTGAATCTTAATGGTTCAGAAGCTCCGTCTGACATACTTTGGACATGCTGTAAAGCGAGACCAGTCCTTGGAGATGGACGTCATGCTTGGAAGGGTGGAAGGACTGTTGAGGAAAGGAAGACCCTCAATGAGATGGATGGATTCCATCACTGGGGTAATGGTGGTAGGTATGTCAAGAGACAATAAGACTGGCAAGGATAGAGCAGGTTTTAGGGCTGTTGTATACAGAGTTGCTATGAGTCGCATGTGACTCGACAGCACATAACAACAACATTGGTAATGGTGATTATGAATATTAAATCTAAACTAGGAAAAGTATACAGCACACATTGCCATATGGACTCTACTCCCAGGTTTGGCTGTTCTTGCTGGATGTTTGAAGGAGAAGCTGACTTTTAACTGCTCTGAGACAAACCTTCTTGGATGATTTGGTTATAGCTAAATGGAGGCAAACTTTGCTGGATGATTTGGATTTGACTGCTAAACTGAAGTTGCCATCAGCTCTACTCCCAGCAACTGAATTTTATTTCCTAGAAGAGAACACTATTGCTAGCATTTAGAGACCAATTATAAGCTGTATTTAGGGAAAAAAAATAACAGGTATGGTGGATAGTATTGTTGTTGTTTACCATTGAGTCAGAACGAAATCATATCTGACCATTCAAGTATGAAGAGACTACCCATCTCTCTTCTGCAGAGCAACTGATGGATCCAAACCATATACTTTGGGGTTGTCAGTGCAACTCTTTACCACTAAACCAGAAGAGCTCTCTATGGTAGATCAAAACTGCAGGTTCAAGTAAACTTTAGTTAGAGTCACTTTAGAATCAAATTTATTATTAAAAACACCTATTAAAAATACCTGTCAGAGAAATCTAATTTTTACTCGTAGGCTGACATTTTGCAGGTTGGGAGTTAAGTTGCCAAGCCAAAAGCAGATAGTTCAAATCTACATGCTGGTCCATGGAAGAATGGACAATCTAGATTGTTAATAGCTTTAGTCTGCTTGACTCCACGGTCAACACTCTTAGCACCAGTAGCCAGGAAATCAAAAAACATATTGCGATGGGAAAGTCTGCCATTAGAGACCTCTCCAGGGTACTGAAGAGCAATGGTGTCACTCTGGAGACTAAGGTGCATTTGATACAGGCCATGGTCTTTGCAATCACTTGTTATGCATCAGAGAGTTGGACAATGACTAAGGAAGATAGAAGGAGAATTGATGCCTTTGAGCTGTGGTGCTGGAGAAGAGTATTGAATGTACCATGGACTGACAAGAAAACAAACAGATTCATCCTAGAGAGGGTTAAACCAAGCTGCTCCTTGGAGGCAAGGATTCTGGGGCTTCGTCTGACATACTTTGGACATGTAAAGAGAGACCAGTCCTTGGAGAGAGACAACATGCTTGGGAGGGTGGAGGGACGGCACAGGAGGGGAAGGCCCTCTATGACGTGGATTGATTCAGTGACTGGGGTAATCGGGATGGGTGTGTCAGGGGCTCTGTGACTGGCACAGAAAAGAGAACGGTTTAGGGCTGTTGTACATAGGGTCGCTGAGTCACAAGCGACTTGATGGCACATAACAACAACAACTCTCATGTGATTTAGAGCCTCTAAAAACTCCTCAGTTCCAAGTCAATGGCATATAATAACATCAGCAGGGAACCCCCAACCCAAGAAAGCATTTGTGTTATTAGCCTAAAAGGTGGCTTTTTCTTAGCTACTACAGCTAGCTGTTACTGGTCTCCAGCTACCTTAACTGCAGACACATGGTCTTGCATATCAGCGTGGTCTTGCAAATCAGCATCAGCTGTGGGACTGGGTAAGTGAAAGAGTGCTTCTCACACTGAGCAGTAAGACTTGTGTGAGCAAGACACGTAGTGGCAAGACTCTTGGGAGAGCAAGACCAGAGACTGTGGCATTGTTGTTGAAAAACGGTGGCAAAATATGACCTGAGGCTTCTTGCATTATACTGGCCACAGTTAAAGATTTGGCTGTTCTTGCTGGATGTTTGAAGTAGAAGCTGACTTTTAACTTCTCTGAGACAAACCTTCTTGGATGATTTGGTTATAGCTAAATGGAGGCAAACTTTGCTGGATGATTTGGATTTGACTGCTAAACTGAACCCAGAGGCTGGACTAATTAAGGAATTGTGCCTTGAACTACTAGGCCAAAGTATGGGCTTGTATTAAGAGATAATCTTTGCCTTCCACACTCACTTCCCTAATAAACCCTATAACTGTGATCCATAACTGTGAGTCTGTGAGTCAAAATGAATAAAAGAACCTCTTGCTGTTGGTGGGGCGGAGGGACTATGCTATTCTCATCCCCTCTGGCCCTTTCTGAGAAATACTCATGGCCCTGTGAAATACTCATGGTCCATGTCCAGTTTCCTCCTCTTCTGACAGCCTTATATACTCTATTAACTCAATGAATGGAAGATGTAGTTGAGTATTATTCCAAGTATAATGATTGTTATTCATTCACACTACTGGTTGAGCACACAAATTAACTGACCAAGAATCAATACAGCATCTCAATATACTCCATACAGAATGAAAAAAAGACATGGGGAAGAAACAAACAACCCCAAAACAAAACCATCTTCCCTAAGTGGATTTAAATCTCTAAGGGGATACAAAGTTAGTGTCCAGCAAACAGAGTGAAAAATACTCCTCACTTGAACATACGATAACCAGGCAACAGCAAGGATGTAGCAATGAGACAAAGCCGGTTTAGGCAGCCATGGCTCTGCAGACTCTCTTAGTTTGACTAAGGATAAACAGAAGATTTTTCAAAACTCAGAACAGACAGTAAGATTTTTTGTGAGAAGACTGGCCTACTTTAGACAGTTTAAAATCATGTTGTTAGATATAATGTCATACTAACTCACGGGAGTATACTTACCTTTGGTGCTTTCTCAGTTTTGAGTTTACGAACCACTTCTCCTTGTGCAGCAACTTCATCATACAAAGACTTACTGTCCAGAATACTTTCTGATGATTTAGAAGAAATATTCTTTACTACTACAGTAGGGGGATTTCCAGGTTTATACACCTGGCCAGTTTTCTCCTTATATTCAGCTTTCAAAGCCAAAAGTTGTTTTACAGCTGCATCTATATCTTCTTTTGTTGCTTTCTTGGCTTTTAAATCACGAACCAAATCACCTTGGACAGCCACTGTGTTGTAAAGGGCCAATGAATCCTCTGCTGTACAAATGTTACTTGGAGAAGGTGCTGGCTTTTCCTTACATGGAGTTGTCTAGAGAAAAAGAACACCAAAAGATAGGTAACTTATGTAAAATGCCTTTTTCATGAAATTTTACAAGGTTTTATGTTTTAAAAAATTGGAACATTTTACATTTTAATCCCTTGATACAATAGATGAATAATCTTCTTCTCAAAAGTATACTTTTAATGAAATATTAACAGAAGCAAACAAATGCAGAGTCATATGGACAGTCACAAGTTATTTTTATCATATATTAAAACTGAATATAATGTAAATCTTTATCAGCAGAGGTGACTTGTCATGGTAACCAGAAGGGAAATTTATAGGGCAGAGGTCTTGGAATGGAAGACTTGAAGAGGCACAGCAAGTCCTTTTGGGAGCCTGATGCATTAGCCTGGAATCCAGGTAAGGCAGCCACACACATGAGAGGTAACTGTGTCATGGCAGCACTTTACATAATTTGCTCAACACTTTTAAACAAATGAACCAACTCTTACTCCTAATAGGATTATATTATCAGTTACTTTAACTAGCTGCACATGCAGCTTTTACAAATCACCAAGGGCGTCAAGCCGTTCTCCACACAAATGGAAGGCTTAAATGAGAACCATATACATTTGTTCCTACTGGCCTATATAAATTCTTAAAGACAGAGAAATAGAACTTGTTTGTAACCTGTGTGAACAAACCCATACACAATGAAAACTATCCCTGAAAAAGAATTCCTCTCAAAACTTCTCAATTTTTGGTATAGTAAACACTGATAAAACAATCTATGTAATAGGCAAAAGCTCTTTCAGTCCTCAAACATTTTTAGGAATGCCAAGAGGTTCCCAGAGATTCTCGGTGATGCAAATAGTTAAGCAAGCAACTAACTACTAAAAAGGCTAGTAGTTTCAACTCACCACAGGCTCCATGAGAACACAGGCCCTGTAATCTACTAGATATCAAAGCCTTGAAAACTCCACAGAGCAATTTTGCTCTGTGCATATGGCCTCACTATGAGTCTGAATCAACTCAATATCAATTAACAACAAAAATGTCCTTAGACAAAAATGTTTTGTTACACAGTCATAACATAAAATGACATAAGGATATCATCCTAGTCAAATTGTTATTTCTCATTTTTGGGGCTGAGTATAAATCAAAAGCTCATGTGATGTTATTCTCACAGTAAACAACTCCAAACACATCTTTCCTAATGAGCTTAAGAGTACTTGTCTTGACTCTAAATTTTCATTAAAATTAATGTTGTTGTTGTTGTTGTGTTATGTGCCATCGAGTTGCTTGAGACTATAGCAACCCTATGTACAAGAGCTCTAAACGCTGTTCTATCCTGTGCCAACCCAGCCATCTCAAACGCACTTATTCCCACCACTCCAGTCACAGAATTGATCCATCTCATCAAAAATCTTCCTCTTCTTCGCTGCCCCTCCACTCTGCCAAACATGATGTCCCTCTTCAAGGACCAGTCCCTGTTTCCAAGATGCCCAAAGTATGTAAGTCGAAGCTTCAGAATCCATGGCTCCAAGGAGCATTCCAGCTTCACCTTCTCCAGGTCAAACCTGTTTGTTCTCCTAGCAGTCCATGGTATATTCAACACTCTTCTCCAGCACTACAACTCAAAGGCATCAATTCTCTTTCTATCACCCCTATTCACTGTCCAACTCTCTGATGCATAGCATGTAAGTGCAAAGACTCTAGCCCGAATCAGGCGCACCTTAGTCTCCAGCCTGACATCGTAATAATAATAAAAAAAAATTAAAAAAAAAAGAAATACTCTATATAAATTTAAAAAAAAAAAGAACAGCAAGAGTACTTGTCGTGAATCCACCAGATGCTCTGGAGAAGGATGGGCAATCTCATCCTATGCCAGTCTGATCTAACTTACAGCACACAACAAGAAAAAATAAATAAAGGGAAAAAAGAGTACTTGTCTTCTCCAGCTCAAGTAATTATTTTATCATAGATCTGTCCAGTTATCAAGACCTAACACCTCTAGACTTTGAGTAGTACTGGTTCTACTTCCTAAATCCACATCATACTGGCCATACTGTATCTCAAGCTTTCATTCTTTAGCATCTTAATTTCCTACAGCACTAATAATAAAATTCAAATACTGTGCAAAATTTAACAACTAGAAAATAAGTGTAGGAGCATGTAATCCAAGTTCATGGTTCAAAAAGGAATAAAAAGAATTACTTTTAAAATTTTGATTTGTGCATCATTAAGAATGAAATGAAAATGTTTTGGTTAGCCCCAGCTCCTGGTGACCTCATGCACTACAGTATGGAGCCACTATGAGCTGTTGCGTTTACAGAAGCAGTTCACCAGGCTTTCTTTCAGAGTTCAAGCAGGAGATACTGTGAAAGCTGGTTCAGCATCCCAGAAACATGCAAATCGCCAGTGACAGACAATACTCACTGAACTTAAATTGTACTGGCCAGGAATCAAACCCAGGTCTTGGGTATTAAAGAGGTAAGGATTCTACCAGTGAATCACTGGTTGTGTTATGTGCTGTCGAGTTAGAACCAAGTCATACCAGACTCTACAGAGGGTTTTCAAAGGCTGTAAATCTCACAGGAGGAGATGGACCATCTTTCTCCTGTGGAATAACTGCTAGATTCAAGCAGCTACCTTTGGACTGGCAGAGCAGCTTTGTACTCAGCAGACCCCCAGAACTCCCTACTGAACCACTACTGCCCCACAAAATAAAAATATGTAATTGCTCTACAGGTGCAATGAATAAGTACTTGGCTGCTAAAGGAAAGGTCAGTGGTTGAAATCCACCCACTCTCCTCCACAGGAGACAGACCTGGTGATGTGCTCCAGTACAATCTAGGAATCGTGTGACTGTCTACTGTGTCATTTAGGGCTGTTAAGAAGTAGAAATGACTCAAAGATATTTTAAGATATTCTAAGGGTTAAAAAGTTGCTAGAATATAACAGTGTGGACTTCCTTAACAAACAGAAAAAGTAGGAATTTTTTTTAGACACTAGGTTTACCTTGAAACTTTTTCTGAAAAAGCAAAGACGCTATATATATTATGAAAGTTCAAGGACCTCTAAACTTTTTGCCTATTCTAGATTTGCAGATCATTCACCCATCAGATCTACAACTAACCTTTCAAGGATATCTGGTCTCTAGAATGTCCTTCAATATGCTGATTTCCTTGCAAACTTGTTCTCCAAAAGAGTAGACAGTCATAATGACTTTTTAAATGGCAACTTAAGAAATGTGCCTACCATCCACATAATAGTAGTTTTCATTCTTTTTTCTAAAGCTCACAAGTCCTAACCACCAAGGCAGTGGGGTTTGAGAGAGAAGTACAGGCAGGGAGCTGGGCCACTAGCCTGCTGTCAATTACAAGTTTTGTGATCTTCAGCAAGGTTATTTCATTAACTAAAGGATAAGCTCTATTATTCGGAAGTAGATGGCCAATCCTTCTTCCTAGTCTGTCATAATTTTTTTATATAATAGTATTTGACAGAAAAGCATTTTACAGAGAAGAGTAGATGAAAGACATTTACCCTATTAGAAAAGTGACTGGTAGATTCAATGTTGCTACCCACCCTTGCCTCGTGTACCTGGAGAGGGTAAAGTCAGACTGCTCCTTGCAGGCAAAAATTCTGAAGCTTCGTCTGACATACTTTGGGCATGTTGCAAGGAAGGACCAGTCCTTGGAGAGGGACATTATGTTTTGGAGAGTGGATGGACAGCACAGGAGAGGAAGAACCTCAATGACCTGGATTGATTCGGTGATTGCGGCAAAGGGAGTGGGTGTGTCAGAGACAGCAAAGTTGGCACAGGATATAGCAGGATATAGGGCTCTTGTACATAGGGTCGCAAATGACTTGACGGCACATAACAAAAATGATAAGCAGGAGTGGCATCCACTTCCTAAACGACTTACCTCTGGAAACTCTATGAACTTTGATAAATGTCGATAGTTGTAGAGGGGCTTCAGGCCTTCTGTTTATAAGGTTGCTATGAGTCGTGCTCGATTTGAAGGCAATCAACAACAACAAAGGATGAGCTAAAACTGGATGATCTTCAATATACTTTACGACTCTAGAAGTCAATACTACCTAATATATAAAGCACCTTGGCTATTAAAAAGAAAAATGCACTGTAGCTCTGTTACGGAAAAGTTTTTGAAGATTATTTCACTCTAGTTGTTTTCACTATTTGATATGACAAAAACACAATCTTAAGATCTTATTTTTCAAAATGTTTTAAGCATGAAAGGGTAAACTTTTATACATGAAAGCGTCGAGAGTTTATGTCATTTTTAGTCACAAAATAAGACAGACAATGACTTCTAAACAAATAATTCTATCTTATGAAAGGATCACTCATTATGAAAGACATTTCTGGAAAAATCTTACCTCATTTTTGGTTGTTTCTGTTTTGGTCTTTTCCTTTGATCCTGATGTTGGCATTTCCTTTGTATGTCCATCAGGAATGTATATCAGAACGCACGGGGCCTCTATGCAACTATGTGGGCTATAAAAAAATTCAATTCAGGGGGGAAAAGTATAAATCATCTAAACAACTAAGATTTAATTTCTAGATTAAAATGATAGCAATGAGTTAATGGTTTCCAAACATAAAAATAAAAATAGTATTCATTCTTATTAAAACTAGCTCACTCAAGGGAGCTCTGGTGGCCTAGTGGCAAGAAGCTGTACTACAATCCCAGAGGTGCGCCATTTGAATCCACCAGATGCTCTGCTCCAGAGGGAGGAACAATCTCCTCCTGTACCTGTCAGATCCGATTTGACGGTACACACACACACAGACATACAGACATACACACACACACACACAAAATAATAAAATTAAAAAAACACCTAGCTCACTCAGTTACTCCATAAGTTGTACTAATATCAAAGGGAAGGTGGTTCTAATCCACCAGCTTCTCTGAAGGAAAAAGATGGACAGTCTCCATGAGATTTACCATCTCTGCAAATCCACTGGAAGGTCAGACAGCAGTGAGTCAGTTCCAACTTGATGACAATGATTAAGTTAATGAGCGTGAACAGACTGACACACAGTGACCTTATCTGGCCTTAACAGAATGGCCCCGTAAGGTTTTCAAGTCTCTAATTTTTATAATAGAGAGGCCATCGTTGAGCTCAATGGCTATGTGCTTGGCTGCTAACTGAAAGGTCGATGGTTCACATTTCACCTGTCAGTTGTTCCACTAGAAAAATGATGTGGTTTTCTTCAGCTTCAGGACAAAGAGGATGTTTCTTTGGAATCTTTAGAGAAACAGGCTATCACACCTTTCTCCTGATCTTTCAGTTAACAGGGGAGCATTTAATCACTGCAACACCAGCTCTTTAATATGCTTACAATAAAGCAAAGATACTTCCGAGAAGCATTTATTTTCCAGGCATTTACCACTTCTAAAGGTACACAATATACAGGCTCTGACATCATAAACAAAATTTCTTTGAATACTATGACAAACCCAAGCATTGAGGACTCGCCTTCATAGGGTCGCTATGGGTAGCCTGCAACTCGACGGCACTTAACAACAACAACTGTGACAAAGTAAAACAATAAAGAAAAGTTCCAAAAAAATAGGATTCTAATACTACATTATAAGGGATGAGGGGAAGAACTGTCCAAAAGGAATAGGCACAACAGTTAGGCTTTGTAAGTGTGACAGCAATCAGGAACAAGGTGTGAATTGCAGGGTGAGTTGAGAGAGGGGGAGAGGAAGAAAATGTTCAACAATGAAAAAACAAAATAAGATTCTGTATATATCTCTAATATTTTTAGACAGCTTTATTGAAATACAATTAACACACTAAACAGAAAATTACTCTGTGAAACTATGCAATGCTGTGGTATTTTAGAGAATTATATAACCACCACTAGTCTATTAAATTTTAGCACATCCTCCTCATTTGCTCCAAAAGTTTTAACCCTCATATTTACATCTATAATTCATTTTGGGTTAACCTATGTATTGGTATGGGCCCAGCTCTATACTTGCTTGTGGGATAATCAGTTGTCATAGCACAATTTGATGACATTTTTTTACTTATTTAAAGAATACACTGAAAACTTACAGCCACTACCACCAGCATCGTATCTCATATTTTAAAAGACCTAATATGCCATCATCAGTGAGTACTAGTGGTCTAGTGGCATTGCAATCCTGAAGGCATGTGGTTCAAATCCACCAGCTGCTCCACGAGAGAAGGATGGGCTATCTCCTTCCATGCAATTAACTGCTTCTGAAAATCTGCGAGAGGGTCAGCTACGGGTCAGTTCTGAGTAGATGGCATACAACAAGAACAGCTGCTGTGCTGTGCTCTTAGCATACATCATTTTACTTAATTAAAGGAACTCAACTGCTAAAATGAATGAGAATCTCTCCCGGAGCTTACATTTTAGTGGTAAGGAAAAGAAACAGAAAAAAGAGAATTTCAGTAACATGTGATAAATATTCTAATAGAAGAATGCTACAGAAGTAGCCCTCCATACTAAAGGAATACATATTATTCAGAGTGAAGGACTATATGAAGGTTTTCAGGAAGATATAACATTTCAAAGGTTACTCAGATGACTTCATGCCTTCAGTGTGCTGAACAAAAGGGACCCAGGAAAGCACAATAGAGCAGATATGGCTAAACGAACAAGGGCCAGATCATGAGGAACTTTTTGTGCTATAAGCTAACACCTTTAGATTTCACAGTGACGTGCATAAGGATTCTTGTACAGAAGAAATATGAAACCAGTGTTCTGAAAACTTCATAATGATGGCAATGTGAAAATGGATTTAAAAAAAAACAAACAAACAAACCTAAAACTCACAGCTCACTAGAAGCTCTTTCCACTGTAAACAAGATTTGCCTCTGGAGGACTTGAGTAAGGTAAAGTAGTAAGCAGTAGGAACCTGCACTGCAATCCCAAATGTACAGAGTTTAAAACCACCAGTTTCTTTATGGGAAAAGGATAGGCAATCTCCTCCCATGTGATTAACTGTCTCTAAAAACCTGCTGGAGGGTCAGCTATGAGTCAGCTCTGACTCCACGGTACTCAACAACAGAATCCCTACAGGTGTATGAGACAGCAAACAAAAAAGTTTACTGACTAGGATGGTAGTGAAGGAGAAGAACAGACAGAAATGAAGTGTAGGCTCCTCGGTTTTAACATACTGAGTTTGAGGTAACTGTAGTTGTTAATTTCAAAGATTTGAAATTCAGGAAAGACACTTCGAATACATACAAAAAATAAAGGAATATGGAAAATTATTGATTGAAAATTCTGCAATAATACTATATCATAGTTGGAAAAGAATGCTATATTTGCTATTTTCCCACTAAAAATACCTGCTTTTCTATTTATATTATAATAAAATAAAAAATATAAAGACTAAATACAATAATTTTCACCCAAAGAAAAAATACTGAATTGTTGTAATTATATTTGGATAAAGACTAATTATAAAGTGGTTTAATTGGATAAAGACTAATTATAAAGTGGTTTAATTTTAGATATGAATCACTTGTTAGTGTTCAATGCATATTATGCTGGCTGAGAAAAAACTGATCACTAAAGTAAATTATTTAGGACTGTAACATTTATTTTTTTTAAAAAAAGCAAATATGAAATTGAATAGAGAAATGGCAGGTATTTTAGTGATAGTATCATTTTTTAAATATTATCCACCTAACTTTAAAGCATATATTTACCTAACAGGTTCATAAGTCTGATCACATATGAAGAATCCTCTTCGTTGGAGTTGTATAATATCCCCCTTCTTCAAATCCTTAAGGCAGGGATCTCCCAACATTAGTTCTTCACGCTACAAAGATCAGAGCACCAAACAATTATAAAAAGGAAGCAATTGTTTCAGTACCTGAGTATTTCCATTTTAAACAGATTAAGCACACAAAATCAAATAGTGAAATGCTAAAATAAATAGTAATTCCACTTTTTGTTAGTATTTGTATTATTATTTGTAAACTAAAACAACTTCATGAAACTGTTCACGGCATTCTTTTAGACATAAATTTCTCTTATAAAATGAAATACAACAGTGGTCACCACAAGAGTTTTAGGGCCAGCATGCCTGAGTTTTTAAATTAAATATGCATTTATGAATAGAAGATTTCAAAAGGCAGCACAGGATGACTATTACAATGAAATATACAAGGCGTTAGGGTGAGATAATCAATAGGGCTGAACTCGATCAGCATTTCTTAAGCTCAAGGAACTGAAGAACAAATTCAAACCTCGAGTTGCTATAATCAAGGATGCTTTCAGCAGAATATTAAATGATCCAGGAAGTATTAAAAGAAGATGGAAAGAATATACCAAATCACTGTATCGAACGGAATTGGCAGACACAGAAGAATTTCAAGAAACAACATACGAGCAAGAGCCTATGGTGATGAAAGAAGTTGTTCAGGCTGCTTTGAAGGAAATGGTGAAAAATAAGGCCCCAGGAATAGATGGTATACCAATTGACATATTTCAGCTAACAGATGCTGACCTGGATGTGCTCACCAAATTGTGCCAAGAAATCTGGAGAACAACCACTTGGCCAACTGACTGGAAGAGATCTATATTTGCTCCCATTCCAAAGAAAGTTGACCCATCAGAGTGTGGAAACTATAGAACAATATCATTGATTTCACATGCAAGCAAGATTTTACTGAAGATTATCCAAAAACGACTGGAACAGCACATCAGCAGAGAATTGCCAGAAGTCCAGGCTGGGTTTGGAAGGGGTCGTGATACTAGGGATATTGTAGCTGATGTTAGATGGATCTTAGCTGAAAGCAGGGAATACCAGAGGAATGTCTCTCTGTGTTTCATTGACTATGCAAAGGCATTTGACTGTGTGGAACATAACCAACTATGGCTGACTCTGAGAAGAATGGGAATCCCTGAACACTTGATCGTTCTAATACGAAACCTATACTTGGACCAGGAGGCAGTCGTCAGAACAGAGCAAGGGAACACTGCATGGTTCAAAACTGGGAAGGGCGTACGCCAGGGATGCGTCCTATCTCCATACCTTTTCAACCTGTATGCAGAACAGATGATCTGGGTGGCTGGGCTCTACGAGGATAAATGTGGGGTCAAGATTGGTGGACAATCCATCAACAATCTATGTTATGCAGATGACACAACCCTGCTTGCTGAAACTGAAGAGGACCTGAAGCGCCTGCTGCAGAGCGTCAAGGACTGCAGCCTACAATATGGATTGAGGCTCAATGTTAAGAAGACAAAGATTCTCACCATTGGACCAACTGGCAGCATCAGGATGGATGGTGAAGAGACTGAGATTGTAGACAACTTTAGTTTGCTTGGCTCCACAGTCAACACTCTTGGCACCAGCAGCCAGGAAATTAAAAGGCGCATTGCCATGGGAAAGTCTGCTGATAGGGACCTCTCCAAAGTACTGAAGAGCAATGGTGTCTCTTTGGAGACTAAGGTGGGTCTGATACAGGCCATGGTCTTTGCAATCACTTGTTATGTATCAGAGAGTTGGACAATGATCAGGGAGGACAGAAGGAGAATTGATGCCTTTGAGCTGTGGTGCTGGAGAAGAGTATTGAGAATACCATGGACTGCTAGGAAAACAAACAGATTCATCCTGGAAAGGGTTAAACCTGGTGGCTCCTTGGAAGCAAGGATTCTGAGGCTCTATCCAACATACTTTGGACATGTTGTAAGGAGGGAACGGTCCTTGGAGAAGGACACCATGCTTGGCAGGGTGGAGGGCAGGCGCAGGAGACGAAGGCCCTCTATGAAGTGGATTGATTCGGTGACTGGGATAATCAGGATGGGAGTGTCAAAGACAGTGTGACTGGCACAGTACAGAGTGGAGTTTAGGTCTGTTGTACATAGGGCCGCTATGAGCGACTCAACAGCACATAACAACAACAACAATACATTTATGTGTTAATCCCATGTGAGCATTTTCAAACACATCCAATTTATTCTTAACATTCTACGTTTACAAAGTTTACAAAAGGGGGACAGATTAAAGAGATTTTTTTTTTCCAAGGTTACCTTACTGTTCTTATTGACATACTGCTTGAAGTCCTCATCTTTCCCCAGCACTGGCTTTGTGATCAAGTGCTCATAAGTCACACAGACTGCTGGGGTAGGAAGAGCACGTGCAGTCTCGGCAAGCCAAGTAATCTTAGTGGTTTTCTTGAAGTCTTTATTCTCCAAGTTCAATTTAGCATCAAGAGATACAATTTTCCCATCTGTGTTTCTAGATAAAAGATTAAAATGCATTAAAAAAGTAAACCCAATCTGTCATAAAATGTTGCTGTGCGTTTTAAATGCATTATTACAGTATTCATAATAAACTCACAAATTCTTTCTGGAAAAATTAAAATAAAAATTTAAGCTTTAAACATATACTACTACTGTATTTAACAATGTTATTCTTAATGTTCAAAGGTCTGTAATTTCAGATGTGGACGGTCAATCTGGTCATCTGGAAACGTCACTGAAATATCAGTCGCACAGCTTCTAGCATCATAGCTATGTATTAAGTCACTCCATTGTATCAAAGTGAAAGACAAGAGCTGTCCTCCTAAGACCAAACTAGAAACAAGCAAGTGTATACATACATAAGCTATAAAATAAACAGCAGCAGACAAATCCATCTAATACATTGCTATACTCAAAAGAGCAAACCATAAAACAAATGAACACTCAGAGATCAGAAAACAAGAGATGCTGCAGAAAAGTGGAGCATATGTAGGGGAAAATTTTAATTGTCCAAAATTTACAGAATCTATGTCTAGGAAGACTAGAGAAAAATTGATGCCTTTGAGTCATACTCTTGGCAAAGAATCACTGCTATACCACAGACTGCCAAAAGAACAAATATGTCTTGGAAGCTGTGAAACCAGAATGCTCCTTAGAAGCAAGGATGGTCACACTTTTCAGTGGCATTTTGTTCTGTTTTATAGAAAGTTGTTAAGAGTCGGATTCATCAGCACCTGTTAATAACTTGTAACATGTCTAAGCAGACTGACTCATCAACTACATGAATGGCTTTGAACTGAGAGATAAACAAACAGGAAGAGGTATTTTTCTTCCACAATTATTTAATAACAAAAAGCTCTTACTTGTGTATTTTGGTAATGTTGATGTTGCCCCAGTTTATAAACGTGACCATCTCACCCTCTGACAAGGTCTCTGCATCAGCACCTTCAATGTAGACTTTGGGACTATACCATACAGGCTTCAGACCAACATCAGGGTTCTGATGAAGAAAACAGGCATAGTAAGTTCAAAGTACAACTCAGTGAGCCAAGTACTTATAAATTCATTAAATATTCACAATTTAGAAATTCACTCATTTTACTCTTCAGCCAAAAACCAAAATGTTAACAGTTACTACAACTACTACTACTTCATTTCCATATTTGGAACGAATAGCTTTCATCAACTGTTTTTTAATAAACATGTGTCAGCCACTCTATTCTTAGCATTCAAATAGTGCCTTCTTGTTATAAACACACACATATACACACACAGAGAAGCTGTCAGACATAAAGTTAACAGAGAAGAGGTGGGTCTGCTTCAAAGAGTACTTCCAACATAAAATAATCATTCAGTGTTTTCTGAGCTAAACACAATTTGCTATTTACTATCTACTTGGCTGTTCTGATTCACATATTGTGCTCTAGAGAATATAGAATCATTCCTAAGCAATGATTGCAGGACATGATTGAACAACAAATGTCACCTTAGGATGAAGCACAATATAAGGATCTTGCATATTTTAGAAAACAACTTTTAACAGTTAATATATGCATGGGCAAATAATGTTTCTACACATGCTAGGTTTCTTAAAATAAGAAAAGAGATCTGGTAAATTAAAAACATGGTTTATTTATAAAATTTCACATTTTTTGACAGGATTTATAAGGGGGGAAAGCAGTGATGCCCAAAATAAGTTTAATAGCACGTGTTTAATGCCTTATTTAATAAATGCATCACTACACTGGAGAAAAGTAACCTTGCTATAGGAACTGAAACTACATGGAGCTTTGTTAATTGTTGTTGTTAGGTATCATCGAGTTGAGTATGCTTATGACTTGCAGTGACCCTCTTAACAACAGAAGTGAATGCTGCTCTGTTCTGTACTATCCTTATCATCTCTTAACACAGTAGAGCCCAGTGCTGAAGTCACTGTGTCAAACCATCTCATTGGGGGTCTTCCTCTACTTCACTGACTCTCCATCTTCCCAAGCATGATGTCTCTTTCCAACAAACTGCCTCACCCAGGTACATGTTCCAAAGTATGAGAGATGAAGCTTTGCTATTTATGCCTTCAGGGAGCATCCTGCCTCCACTTTCTCCAAGAAATATTTGTTCACTCTTTTGGCAGTTCATGGGATAGCCAGTACTCTATCAATGCCGTACCTCAAAGGCATCAATGTATGGTGCTCAAAAAAATTCACTGCTATCAAGTTAAAATCAACTAATTAGCTGGAAAACTCAGTGAATTTCTAATGGTGTAAATGGCATAGGAGGAGTTGGCTCATTATTCCATCTCAGAGCCATTGAAGGATTCAAACAGCCAGAGCGATGCAGCCATGCGTTAGCAGTAAACTGCTACAGACTACACCACCAGAGGTATCTCAAGTCTTAAAACTGCTTTAAAAAGAATGCATATCTTTCAAAGAGGAAATAGCAAACATCATACATCGACAATTGAGAATATTTATCACTTTTTCACAAAAAGTATATTCTCTTATATGTGTCCTAGTCCACGAATGCAAACTTTATTTAGTAGATGTATTTATAGAGTAGTCACAAATTTGGTATGAAAAGAACTATTTTTTTCCAAGATTGTGAACCAGGTAGCCATAACGATCCAAAAAGATTAACATGGACACTTTCTGCTACATAAACTGAGATCCATATTTTATATCTTAAAGGGCAGGTAACATTTCACTTCACCAATAACCTTCCAAGCAGAGGATATGGGAGTGTGACAAGTTCTAAATCAGTTATTACCTGGATCCACAATCAGCACTCATGGTTAACTGCAGTCAAGAAATCGAAGATATGTTACATTGGGAAAATCGACTTTCAAGGACCATTCCAAGGTGCTAAAGAGTGTGTCAATTTTTTTCAGTTGCTTCCCATGCATTAAAAGTTATACAATGAATACGGATAATGGAAGAAGAATCAATACCCTAGATAGTGCTGTTGGAAAAGAAAACTGAATATTCCATGGATTTCTAGGAGAATAAATAAGTCTGTTATGGAAGCAGTGAAATTACAGTGCCCTTTAGAGGCAAGGATGATGAAACTTCATGTCACAGACTACGGACATGATGTCAAGAGAGATGAGTCCTTGGAAAAAGACATCATGATAAGAAAGGTGGAGGGTCAGAAAAAGAGACTAAGGCCTTCAAAAAGATGAACTGATATAATGACTTTTAACAAAGGGCTTGAACTTGCAAGCGATCATTCAGATGAGGCAGGATAGTACCACTGTTCATAAGGTGGCTATGAGTCATGGCTAACTCAATAGCACCTAACAACAATATGGTAATAATGCTCGATGGCTTAAAGACAAATGTGACAGTCAGTGATTGATCCTGTTAAAAGGGGGGCGGGGGGAAAGCACTTCCAGTTGTTGCTGTTATGGGCCGTCGAGTTGTCTTCAACTCATAGCGACCCTATGTACAACAGCCCTAAACCCTGCTCTATCCCTTGCCAATTTTGTCTCTGACACGCCTATCCCCATTACTCCAGTGACAGAATCAATCCATCTCATCGAGGTTCTTCCTCTCCTACATGGTCCCTCTACGTGCAAAATGCCCAAAGTATGTCAGGCAGCGCTTCAGAATCCTTGCCTCCAAGGACCAGCCTGGCTTCATCCTCTCCAGGAAGAACTTGTTTGTTCTCCTAGTAGTCCATGGTGTATTCAATACTCTTCTGCAGCACCAAAGCTCAAAGGCATCAAATCTCCTTCTATCATCCCTAGTCACTGTCTAGTTCTCTGATGCATGGCAAGTAACTGCAAAGACCATGGGCTAGATCAGGTACACCTTAGTTTCCAGACTGACATCATTGCTGTTCAGTATTTTGGAGAGGTCCCTGACAGCACTTTCCCAATGCAATTCATCTTTTAATTTCCTGGCTGCTGGTACCAAAAGTGTTGACTGCAGAGCCAAGTAAATGGAAGCTGTCAACAATCTCAATCTTTCATCATCCATCATGATGCTTCCAATTGGCCTAGTGGTGAGAATCTTTGTTTTCTTGATGTTGGTAAAAAAAATTACAAGTCCATGCCAGGAAGAGATACTTATTATACGCTATCTCTACCCAGTGAGTAAGAGAAAGTCAAACGGGTTTAATATCTTTGTGGTAAGTGTTGGTGTTATTATTAGAATAGCATTTTCAACAACTAATCCATAAAAATGTTCACTCAATTTGGTATCAAACCTTAGCAAGGAACGCTGGATAGAAAATTACCTCAAAATCATTGCTACTGCCACCCAAATATATATCACTTTCATTATTTTTCTCTTCCTTTTAATATATAAAACAACAAATAAAAACAAAACCAGATGACCTTTGGGTGTTTGGCTACTTCTTTCATCTCCTCCTGAGCATCAGGGATATTCACAGGGATTACTTCTTTCTTCAATAGTGCGACATATCGCGGAGCAACTGGGTCAATTACCTGCAAAAAACCCATCCAATATTTCAACCTTTGTATATTTAAAAAAAAACCTCCACATATACAGTAGCAGCACAGGAATACTAAATGGTTTTCTTTTGTTACTGCATTTACTATTTTTTTCCACCATAATATTTAAGCAATTTCTAACATTCAATTCCTAAAGAAAGTAAATAATTTTATATGAGGAATTTCTAGATCTTGACTGTAAATAACTACTGGGATATGGTGGGGAACACTTAAATATAGTACTGGAAATTATAAAATCTAGTACTAGAAGGTGAAGAAAAATTATCCTTATTGGGTTGATGTTTTAATCCTACAGAGAGGTGTAATACATAATTTTGTATTACAAGAGAAGTACACTTTAAAGGAATGTGATTCATTGTGTCTCAGCATTATGTTGGGGTTCACATGAACACCAAAAGCAGAGAAGCAGTTGGTCATGCTAATACAGCAGTGTCATAAATCAGATACATAAACAAAATACTTCTGCGTGTCTACAAGCTCTTTCTGGGATTATTTTATTTCTAGATTCTAGCACAAGGCCTGGCACAGATCTAATTAATAACCATTTACAAATTAATCAGAGGGCTCTGGTGGCATAGTCGTAAGAAGCTTCACTGTAAGCTCAAAGGCACATGGTTCAAATCCACTAGCCGCTCTGTATGAGAAGCATGGCGTGATCCCCTGTGTGGCTTCCTGCCTCTGAAAACTCCCTGGGGGGTTAGCTACAGGTCAGTTCCAAGTTGATGGCACATAATAACATATAGATTAACTAAATGAATGTGTTCATTTCAGCTGTTCATAACGGTCATACTTATTATACTCAAATCTACTACTGTATCGCCAAACAGTAGCAGCATGTCTTCTGAAGCACATGCATTTCTCTTACATCATTGTTCAATTCAAATTAAACAGAATGGTGAAACATCAAGATAAGTACTTTAATAGTAAGGATGTGGTACATAGGGACCTTACACAAAGCATGTAGGAAAAAAAATGTAGATACATTTAAATGCAGAGTCAAACAGCTAAAGAATTGTCCTTTTTCCCATATGAAAAAATTTAAGTTATCAGGACATGACTAATAAAAACGAAACTGTTTTTATTTTCTCTGATTTATACTGGGTTATTTGGTTATTATTGTCCAAACCAGTTTGCTGGTTTTTGTTTTCAGGGTATTTTTAGGCTTCCTGAAACGAATGGTATCGTGGAGCATCGGAATTAACTGGGAGTAAAAAACCTTCCTCTGAGAATTATTCAAGCAGATTTTGAAAAATCATTCAACTTCCCCTCTCAGCTATCCTCTACTTATACTGCATGTTGTTGTTGTTGTTACGTGCCCTCGAATCGTAGATGACTCATAGCGACCCTAAGAACGAAAGGCCTGAGAATTGTTCATAGTTTCCAGAGGCAAGACATTTCGAAGTGGATGCCACTCCTGCTTTGAAGCCTGTTTTAAACAGGAAGCTCCAACCAACACTGTCCACCATGGGTACCCATTACCATGTTTGGCACTTCATTGTCAGTGTTTAGCATCACAGCAACCACAAGTTTCCTCTGTATAGCAATGCACAGACCAGTGCTATACCACCTAGAAGAATGTTTGACAAAAAACAGTTTGGACCAGGCCTGAGGGCCGCCACAGCTAAAATATCAGACTGCAAGTAAAACTTTCAATTTATGGTTTTAACTATGACACAGAAATGTTATGTATCAGCTCCCTATTAAGATGAAAAGTCACATTTAAGAAAACATGGATTTTCAAAAAGCAATTCAAATTATTACCACTGTAAATCTCCTCTACATTTCTCTCCTTTCTCCCTACTTAATTTTGTTGTGAATGATACACTCTGTAAATAAAGCTCTGTACAAAAAAAGTACATAATTAAAAATTAGTATTTTTAGAAGCTGCTTTATAAAAATGCTAAATTATGATGAGCAGAAGAGCACACAAAGTATAATATCACAAGACTGATGCTTTAACATTGTCCCTGTTTCATAGCATCAGGATTCAATTTAGTTCACTGACGCTACATTTAAAAATTTTGGCAGAGTATGGAAAGAAAGACAAAGCAAGCTAAAGAACTGAGATCTTACGCACGAACTCTAAAGAAAGAGAAGTTCAACTAAAAGATTGGAAATAATAGGTTTCAGTGTAGGAAGAAATCATGAAGGCCAGGAATAAAAATGAAAATAGCTGTGATCAAGTGATTTCATAGTCATCCCCAACCTAAAATATTTATACTCTTACAGACTATGTTTTTAAGATGGTACTTAATGAGGACAGATTTCTTTTCACTCCTATACTTCATTAAAAAGGTATGGAAGATTTTACTTTGTTTAAAGGTGAAAAACAAGTAAAACAGGAGAGAGGCCAGTAACTACAGTATTTTGGAAACAAAAAACTATGTCAAAGAGTAAGAACCAAGTGAGCACACTAAGGAATACAATTCTGATGTAAAAATGAACAAAGGCTGAGAAAATCTGCAAACACTTTCCTGCAGACAATATGCAAAAAACAAAGGAATGACATTAGAGGATGAGTCCAGGAGGTCCAACAGCTATAGAATAAATCAAGTAAAGAAAAAGAAAGGAAAAAAAAATCAGAATGACTTTCTATATTGGAAGCTATACATTCTTCCAATGGAGGTGGATGAAAACAGACTCACACTAAAATTGTATCAGCAAATTTCAGAGGTAAAACCTTGTAAAATACAAAGTAATAAAAACAAGCCATCTACAAAGCCTCAAGGGACACAGGTGATGCAGTGCTTATAGTTCTCAGCTTCTAAATAAAAGCTGCTCTAAAGACGGAGCAGTAAGCTTGATGAAGATTTAATGCCTGGGAGCCCTTCACTGCAGGTGTGCCCTGCAGCGTTGCTATACACAGATGGTAATGGGTTTTGGGGTTTCTATCAAGTTTCAAAAATGTATTTCAACCTGTATTCCCCTCCTAAGGAACCTGGAGAAGGATACACGAGAGCAAAACAAGAAAATGATAAAATGAGAAGGAAGATACAGGAATTAGTTATCCATCACAGGACAAACGCAAAGAAAAGCCTCAGGATGATGATGAAGTTGTTGTTAGGTGCCACAGAATCCACTACGATACACAGCAAGCCTATGAACAACAGATCTGAACCCTGCACTATCTGGCGCTATCGTCACGATCTCTGCCATTCTCCAGCCCATGTTACAAGCACTGTGGCAATGCATCCTGTTATAGGTCTTCTTCTCTATCTTGGACCCTCTACCTTTCCCAATATGATATCCTTTTCCAAGGACTGGTCACCCTTGAAAAAATGCCCAAAGTATACAAGATGAAGTTTCATCATCCTTGCCTCTAAAGGGCATCCTGTTTACACTTCCTCCAAAATAGATTATTCTTTTGGAAATCCATGGGAAATTCAGTATTCTAAGCCACCACTCAAAGGCATCACTTTTTCTCTGTCATCCTTATTGTGCAATGTTTAGATGCATAGAAAACAAGTGAAAATATCATAACGTGAATCAAGATCATTTTACTCTTTAAACTGATATAGTTGCTTTTTTAGAGGTTCTTAACAGCACACTTTCACATCTTTTGACTTCCTGACCACACTTACCATGGATGTTGATTGAGGATTCAAGTAATATGAAATCCTTGCTAACTTCAATCTTTTCTCCTTCTATCATGATGTTGCCAATTGGTCCAGTGGTAAAGATTTTTGTTTCTTGATGTTGAGGTATAATCCATATTAATGGCTGCCGTCTCTGATCTTCTGCAGCAAGTGCTTCAAGTTCTTTTCCCTTTTGGCGAGCAAGGTCATTTATATAACTCAAGCTGTTGATGAGTTTTCCTTGGATTCTGATGCCACATTCTTCATACAGTTCAGCTTCCTGAACTGATTTGCTCAGCATGCAGACTGAAGAGGGACATTGTTCAATAACTTCCACATACTGCTGGATCACTTTTCAGGAATGGGATCAAAAATGTATCTCTTCCAGTCATCATTCAGGTAGCTGTCTTCCAAATTTCTTAGCAATGACTAGGGAACACTTCCAAGGCTCCGTCCATTGTTGAAACACAATGACTGGTATTCTACCAATTCCAGGGACTTTACTTTTTACCAATGCCTTCAGCATAGCTGCAACTTCTACCTTCATGGCCATGCTCTTGAATATGCGCCACTTCCTGAAAGGTCACGCATGAACCAATTCTTTTTGGAATAAAGACTCTGTGTACTCCTATTTTGCCAATTCCTGCATCATTCAAGATTTTGCACATAGAATCCTTCAGTATGGCAAATCAAGGCTTTAATTAGTTTTTCAGCTCTATCAGCTTGAGAAATAACAAGCTAGTTCTTCTCTTGATTTTCTAACTCCAGCTCTTTGAACATTATAATAACACTTTGCTTTTTCTTCTTGAGCTGCCCTTTGAAATATCGAAATATTGTGTTCATCTCTTTAGCATTTCTTCTTTTCGTTTTTGACTTTCTGTGTTCTACTGCAATTTTCAATCTCTTCTGACACCCATTTTGGTTTTTTCCCCTTCTTCACTGCTTTTGGAATGGCTTTTTTGTTTTCTTCATACATCATGTCCTTGATGTCATCCCACAACTTTTCTTGTGTTCAATGCATCAAATCTATTTATGAAATAGTTTTAAATTCAAGTGGGATAGACTCACAAAGTAGTATTTTGGTTCTTGTGGTTTTGTTTTCATTTATTCAACTTCAATTTGAACTTCCACAGGAGTAAATAAGGGATCTCTTCCAGTCACTCCCTGGCCTTGTTTTTTGTTGTTTTTTTAAAAAATTTTATTAATTTTAATGAACATTTGCAGAGATTTTGGATTTCCATTCATTCATTGTTGCACTTTTCTCCCTACCCAGCCCTCCCCCTCAGTTCACTCCTCTCTTTGAAAAGTAAAAAAAAAAATTCTTTCATGGGAAAAAAACCCCCCCCAACCCCCCCAACCTACAGCCCCAATACACTCCACTATGCAACATTGATTCTAGACTCTTGTGATAACCATAATACCCTATCATATATCACTCTTAAATTATTCTCTCCATCTGTTTCAGTGCAGTATACATAATTTATCCAGTTTTTCTCAGTCTTACCCCATCCCTGATCTCAGTCCCATTCCACAACAGTGGCACCATGCAGTATTTGTCCTTCTGTGACAGATATTTCATTCAGCATAATGTCCTCCAGAGTCATCCATTTTGAATAATATTGCATGAGTTCCTTTTTTTTTTTTCAATGCAGCATAGTATTCCATTGTGTGAATATACCACAGCTTCTCTATCCATTCCTTTGTTGATGGGCACTTGGGTTGTTTCCAACTCCTTGCTATTGTGAACAAAGCCGCAATAAACGTGGGTGTGCATATATCTGCTTGGATGTGAATTATGGTCTCTTTGGTGTATATTCCCAGTAGTGGAATTGCTGGGTCAAATAGTATCTCTATTTGCAACTTTTTGAGAAAGCACCACACCATTTTCCACAGTGGTTGCACCACCTGGCCCTGTTTTGACTGCTGACATTTACCTTCATCATCAACTTTTTCCACAGATATAGTCAATGTGATTCTATGCAGTCCATCAGGCAAGTCCATGTGTACAGTCACTATTTATGGGTTTTTTTTTTAAAAAAGCTATCAGCAATAAAAGAATCACTGATTATACAACATCTTTTTTTTATTTTATTAATTTTAATGAAAAAAATCTAATCTTTTGATCTCAGGTCTTATGGACAGGATCCTATCACAGGATTATATTCCAGTTAAGATCTTGAAATTTATTTTTCACTATTAAGGCAATACCTCAAAAAGACAATTATGCCTCAGCCAAGAGCCATGAATATGGGACAGATCTAAGCAATGCAAAATCTCTGGTAAAAAATGATCTCCAAAGTGAATCTGAAAAAAAAGTTTCTGAATATCTTACGAGAAAAAGCATAAAATTGTTGGCACCTAAGACTAAATTTGGAAAATAACAAACTAGAATAAAAAAATTTTGAGAAAAAAACTAAAGAGATTCAAATCTTTTTCTTCATAGCAGGAAATCAACTACCAGCGGGTAAAACCAAGTAAAAAGTAGCAACACATACCGCTTATTTCGAGATAAGATATAAAATATTAATATCTAAATATACACAAGAAATAAAAATGGTTTTCCTAGGGGAAGAAAATGGTGGGGAAAGAGGCGCAGCAAATGGGCCACTCATCTTCACAACTCTACAGAAGTGACATATAATTCATGTACTTATGAAAAATTAAAAGTACAGCAATGCTAACTTCACCTGCCAATTTTATTAGTAGTAGTAACTGCAGCAACAGAAAGAACCAATTAATAATTCCTTTAATTACCAAGAACTGACAAATCACAAAAGCCTAAATAAAAAGGTGAATACCTTTTGCATGCAAGACAAGCAATTAATTTTTTTGAGGCAAAGCACCAGCACAATCAAGCAGCAATCATGAAGAAAGAAAAAAAAAAAAACTACAAACCAGCCCTCCCCCACAAAAAAAAAAGAACTGACAGAACACAATCACACAAACTACAGTTCAAAACTTGGCATTTTTGTTATTTGCCTTGATATAGTAACTAAGTGTCTGCTTCCAATTAGTAATTAACAATATGCAGTATTTCTCATCTAACTTTCACTTAAGAATCCATTCTTTTAAAAAAAGAAGCTGTTATTAAATAAGCCACAGGAATTGTAATGAATGATCTTCAATGCATCTCAAAGAAATATGTGATACTAAAACTCTATGCCCTCTTGGTACACAAGGGGAACAGTAACATAGAAGTTAGTGAGATCTTCCCTTTGCCACCAAGAAAGCCAAAAGATGTGTTTCTTAAAACTAGGAATAATGCATTTCCAATGAGTTCATATAACTCTTTTCTTTGATATAAATGTGATTGTGCTTCAGAACTTTGTCACATCTCTGGTTGTAACATGTAATATGCTAAAAGCTAGGCACTAAGGCAAATAAAAGCGTTAAGTAATAATATACCTTCTTACAGAGAGCTCGCAGCTTGAAAGCAGAAAAATGAAATGCACAGTGTTCATAAAAGATTGAAGGAAAAAAACTGTTACCTTTCCCCATAGCTCCAAGGTTTTTTTAATTGTTATTTGTTTTGATTGTATATAGGCTTAATGCTTTTGATATATTTTTAAAAAGGAAAACATTCCATTTTCCTGAAAGTCTGCAAATATATTTCACAAATTTTCTCTACCATGAGCATACTAATAAATTCTAAATCTATTTTATTATTCAGAAGTTTGGCATAAAATAAAGAGTAGAAAGGTAAAACACGTACCTTTTTATTAAATGCCCAGATTTTATCCCATTCCATGTTGACAACTGAACGTGAAGAGCCCTAGAAAATCATTAATAGAACTATTTCATTGACAAGAAGTATTAACCAATACTTTTTGATTTCAAGTACACTTAGGAAAAACAAACTTAACATTTACAAATATACTTCCTTAAAATAGAAACTGAGTATACACAAACTAATTTGTTTATCCAAGAGACTGAGAGGATTTTTTTGGTTTAGTTTTTAACCATTTTATAAACTTGTTATTTAGGATAGGTCCATTTTCTACTGTTGTAAATAGTGTTAAATATACTTTCAATTTTGCCCTTATGAATAAGCAAGAATGGAAGGGGGATTTAACGACTGAGGGGATATCAACACTTAAAAATTCAATCAGAGAAGCTAGGAAAGAAACACTATCTCACCTGAGCAGCAATAAACTGTTTTAGTCCTTCAACTGTCATCCCTCTTCTCAGCACACCTCGAACAGTAGGAAATCGTGGATCATCCCTGAAAATAGGTGTATTTTTAATTAGCAGGGACTTTATTTTTCCAAATTATAGAAGCAGAGAGTACAAATTATCCTGGTGAATAATAAATGGCAGAACTTTCTAAATATTTCAAGTTAGAAAAAAGTGCATACGTAGGTTATGGAGAGCTCTGGTGGCCCAGTGGTAAGCAGCTGTGCTACAATCCCAGAAGCACGCTGTCTGAACCCACCAGCTGCTCCACAGGAGAAGGAGGGACAATCTCCTCTCGTAAGATTAACTGCCTCTGAAAACCTGCCAAAGGGTCAACTATAAGTTCGTTCTGACTTAATGGTACACAACAACAGCAACATACAGGTTCTTAACATTCTTCAGAGATTTGCATGTTTCAATTAGTGGTACATGTACTGTATTAGGTTCAAGAAAAATTTGTCTGCTATTAAATACAGCTCCTCAGTAAACAAGTATAAAATACTCATTATTTATATATCCTGAACGCATTTTTCTAAGATAGAAGTAGAAAACAGTATATATATTCTTGTTTGTGCTAAAAAAAGAAAAATCCTTCAGGCCTCTAAACATGTTAACCCCCTGAACAGAACAAGATACAGTTCATGTATACAGACATCTGGTTATAAAACTATGATATCTATGCTCTTCTCTATCTCATAATTATCCTGGATGTGTTATTAAGAGACCACAAATGTTTTCAAACTTTTTCTAGGCATTGAATCCTGTGTTCAGTCATGCTTCAAGGTAGATACCTCACAGAGGACATAGATTACACATAAGGTAGATCCCTCATATAGAGCATAGATCATTTAAGATCTCAACTAAACTCACAGTTGGCCTTACTGGGATCCTGCTAAATGTAAAACCTCAAAGCTTCAGCCAAGTGTAGAGTGGTTGTTGTTGTTGTTGTTCTTATTGTTGTTGTTATGCGCCATTGAGTCACTTGCGACTCATAGCGACCCAAAGGACAACAGCCCTAAACTCTGCTCTGTCCTATGCCAATCGTACTGTCTCTGACACACCCATCCCGATTACCCCAGTCACTGAATCAATCCACCTCATAGAGGGTCTTCCCCTCCTGCGCTGTCCCTCCACCCTCCCAAGCATGATGTCCCTCTCCAAGGACCAGTCCCTCCTTACAACATGTCCAAAGTATGTTAGACGGAGCCTTAGAATTCATGCCTCCAAGGAGCCACCCGGTTTAACCCTTTCCAGGATGACTCTGTTTTTGTTTTCCTAGCAGTCTATGGTACCCTCAATACTCTTCTCCAGCACCACAGCTCAAAGGCATCAATTCTCTTTTTATCCTCCTTAGTCACTTTCCAACTCTCTAATGCATAACAAGTGATAGCAAAAAAAGAGTGGTAAACAGTTCTATCAAAGACTAGAAAGCCACAGCTACTTTCCTATGAAACAGAGATCTGCAGAGGCTATGTGCCCACCTGTGTCTTCCATTCCTAGATGCCATGCTTTGTGATGGGCATATCATTGTTATAGTGTTATTAAAATGTGGGGGAATCTAGTTTGCTGGTAACAATCAAGTTGGTGAGCAGGAACCCTCGAGGCCTACCCATTCTACCTGCTCCAACTCAGCCTCTCCAGCCCTCAAAGTAGTTTATAAATCATGGATATTCTCATCTCCCATCAATTCAATGTAACATACCATCCATCCACTAGTCCTTCATTGACAAACCACGTGAGTTTTCTTTTGGATAGCACTGTGTTATTGAGATTTAGCCGGCTATATTCCCAAATATATGGTTTTCTGATGCCTAAAGCTTCAATAATCCAATAGAACTGTTCATCTCTGTCATGGTATTCCGTTGTTCTCAGGGCATGTGTAACGCCTTCAATGCTGTCCACAATGGGGCAGGCAAAATCATATGTTGGATAAACACTAGGGGGAAAAAGAGAAATTTTCTTAAAATCAACATGAAACATTGCACTCTTTTTATCAGCTTTAGTGGATAATAGACCAGTTATCAAGTCAGCATTTAAACAAACAAGCGTATTTGCAAAAAAACCAGTAGGGTTGCATACAATGATAATGACAGAATCTACTGATGTTATTTATCATTTTCAGATGCTTACTCTCAAATGTTCAATTCTCATCCTGTTAAGATGTTCAAGAAGTTGAATTGGGAAACAGCAAGATTCTACTATAAAATAAATGAAGAAAAAAAGAACTATACAAACAATGCTAATTTTCTGACAATAAACACCATGCTCATATCTAGCAAGGATAATCCAGAACCTTCCATGAGTTGTTAGTAACACACAGACAAAAATGTCAATGTCCTTGAAGTCTTCCTCGCGTCATTTTTATTATTTAAGTATTCTTCTACATATGTATCAAAATGTAGCTGTAATTTGTTATGTAATATTTCCAATTGCCAAACAAAAATAAAAATTCAATTTCTAAAAATACTGATTATAATGGACAGAACAGCGTTTAGAGCTCTTGTGCATAGGGTCGCTATGAGTTGCAAACCACTCAATGACACATAACAACAGCAACATAAGAGGCAGTAACAATGAAAGCAAAGTATTTAACTTAGACATCAAAGCCAGGATCTGAAGCACAACAAAATTAACGAACAACAACAACAACAAAAAAAGTATTTGACTTGTATCAGCAGCAGCTAATGTCAGTCATCAGAATGGAACCCAATCTCTGGGTAAAGGCTAATTTACAGTGATAAAAAGTAAAGTAATAAGGCCCTGAGAGACTGCATACCTTTGCCAACCAAAAGCCATCCAGTAATTTAATCCATAAATAAATAAGATCTCGACTATTCTGGCAATACCTACTATACATTTATGGAAAGGATCACAGCAAAAGCATCAAAAGCTCATCATATTGAAATACTTACTTGTATTTATTTCCAGTTCTTGGGTGTGGCTGAATTTTGCATCGATAAAGGGCTGGGTCCCTCATGCAACCATTATTACTACTCATGTCAATTTTTGCTCGCAAACAACATGACTGACCAAATTGGCTTCCTTTTTTCATTTCTTCCCACATTTGTAGATTTTTCTCAACGGCTACAAAATGATAGTTACATTACAGTTTAACTAACGGATTGCTAATCTAGTTCAATGCAATGAATAGTTCTAAAATTTTTTAGAAATGCCCATATACTTCTTTTATAGCATACTAATTAACATAAATTGAATGCAATGCATTCAGTAAATACTACTAAGGTCAAATATATTACTTATTTTAAAAGACGTTTCACAGTACTGGTAAGAAAGGTACTTGAAAATATTTCAAGAAAACTCAAAGGTAGTACATGGCACTTACAGAATAGTAAGGATAAGCAAGAAAGTATGAGGCCTGAAGGCTTGCATCTAAAGCTTCTCATTTTCCCATCCTGCGGCTGGTAAACCATTTTCCCTTTTCTCCACCCTCAAATTTAATGTGTGTCTTTGAAGTAGAAGTATTTTCTTTGCTGTTTTATGCCTGAGCACAGACCTGTCTAACCTGATCCACAGGGCCAACAGGTTCTGGCTCTGTCAGAACCCTTTTGAAGAATATGGTCATTCTGGTAACAAGTCCAGCTGAAAAGCTCAGAGGTAAGTCATAAATGGGAAGACATGCTTCTCTATCGAGTAACATTTTCAGATATAGGGCTGTGGTATTAACACTTAAAAATGGCTCCTCTATCCATTGCCTTAGTACCTTTCAGGGCCAAGATCTCTGGCCACCTCACAGTGGTCCTCTGATCAGCATCTTCAACATCAACAGCTACAGGGCAACATAAGAGAGAGAGCTAACCTGACTGCAGAGAGACCATGGCAAGGTATAGCCAGATGGAGCCCCAGAATGGAGCCAGAGTTAACGAATATAAGATCCAATTAATAGTAAAATTAGCTGCAACAGCACTGAGGGGAGACCTTGTCTGACCTTGTAGGTATTATTCTGGTAATGTGATGTGGATGATATTAATAGGAACAGTTCCCCTTTGAGTTGATAGTGTTTGAACTCGGTTGTCCCCACATTGCCCTTGCTCCTTTTACAGGGCAGTACCTAGCTTATTACATTTCAATCGAGCCACCAATTAAAAGGAAGACTTAGAAGCTAAATAACATTATGACTGAACATTTTAAAAAGGCTAAGTAACAGAAGAATCTATGAAACATAGCAGGAAAAAAGTTTTTAGTAGAATATATATGACATACTGCACATAATAAGTAAGATCCCAAGGGCAGTCAAACTGTGTATGTAATCATGATGCAAAGTAATAAGAATTTAAAATAAAAAAAGAAAGTTATCTAAGTGGCTAATTAATGCATGAACGTTTTCTGAACAAGTTGCTTTTCCAGAAATCATGTTGTATAAAGAAGCCAAACACAAGAGTAGCATCAATTAAAATACAAAACATTTTATGTTTCTTACAGTTTTTCCTGTGTTTAGATTCTATCCTTTGCTCACGTTCCACCTTCATCTGCTCAGCAGGAGTATCATCCACATAAGCCTTTCCTTCTTGAATTAGTTTCTCTGCATATTTCATTATAGTTTCAAAATGATCAGAGGTATACGTAAACTGATCTGGTTTGATATGCAGCATTGCAACATCCTCCAAAATGACCTGTAATATGATCCAAAATAATCATTTTTTGTTTTATTTCAATCTTTAATACAGCATTTGGGCAAATGTAATACACCACCACCACCATGTCTTATACAGCCTGAAAATGATTGCAGAAGTTGTATGATAATTGGCCAAAGTACTGAGAATGGCTCCATTTTCTTACTCCTTGAGGAGTAAATTATGCGAGAAAGAGAAGTTGGACTTAAAGAAGATTAGAAAAGAGAGTGATTTATTTCTGTATTATATTAACTTGCACATTTCCAATGAAGAAAGCTTACCTCATAAAGGAGCTTTCTATTTTCTCTGGAAAAGTTGGTTATTGCTAGTCTTACAATATTACCCTCTTTCAATATACTGCAAAATTCTGAATAAATATGATTATAAGAGGGTTGGCAATGTTAATATTTTCTTACCCTATTTAGTTGTTTCATTCATAAGTTTAAAATATTATGGAACAAAATAAGAAACCTGCTTCCAGTGACCAATTCATTTAAGGAATTAGTACTTACAGGAAAGCAAAGCACTCACATATATTTTAGAAAAATTAGGGAAGAGAAAAAAAAGATTAGTTTGGTTTGGAAGCTCAATAATTCTCAGCTTACAGCCAGTAATAAAGATATCCCTCTTCTAAGGAGAATGTTCCTAAGACCCTTTCATAAATTGAGATGTACCATTAACTTAGAGGGGGAAATTGTTTTTGAGTGTTACCAGACCAAAATACAGCATACTACATCAGACATATAAAACCTAAAACAACACTAACAGATTGGGCTGAGTTTACAGTTCAAAGCTACGGTGGCGTGATGCTCTAATGCTGAATGTAGTTCCTGGGAGGAAGCATGGCTCTGCCACTCATTGCTGCCTGGAGTGTGCACTACCTCTTTACACAAAGCGCTAAATGCTGGCTTTGCTTTCCTTCTCTTTTTATGCAAGCAAAAATCGTCTTCAGATATTTTTTTCCTGTGAGTAAAAGCATCAACTAACATAATTTATAAAAATGAAGTGGTATAAAGCAAATTTTGAAAAAGCAGGGATGCCTGTATACAGAAGCAGAAAAAAGCAACTAGGAGAATCACCTTCATTTCTTTTCATACCATGAAGGTATCATGTCACCTCACAATTTTGATTACATTTTCTGACAAAAGGTCATCACTACACTTTTAATTACCTTCTCAAAATCTTCCTTCTCTTTTTCAGGATTTGTGTCATCAAATCTCATGATCAGTTTCCCTTTAAAGTTAACCTGGTAGTGCTGGTTCAGAAGAGCAGCCTTTGCATGCCCAATGTGTAAGTAACTAAAACAAAAACATTTCACAAAGAAACTCATTAACATGCTTCAACTGAATGCTTACACTTAACCTTTTTCCATGGAACGAAAGAGAAACAAAAATATTTGTAATTGTTACTCCAGTCATATTTTTATTTTCTAGCAAAAAGTACTGTGATAGAATACCAGATCTTGACAAGAACTTAATTTACAACAGAGAAAGCAGTGTCTTTCTCACAAGACTGGACATTTAAATAGTTTATTTTTACGAAACTTTTTATTTTTAAACAGTTTTAGAAAAGGTGTAAATGTAGTACTCAAGTTGTGTATATCCTACACTTAATTTTCCCAAGTGTAAACATCTTACCTCCCTATGATTCATTTGTCACAACTCATCAACTAATACAGAACTGGTAAGTTATTATCAACTAGACTCCACGCTTTTCATACAGCACTTACAAAGCTCATACTTAGGTAAGAATCAAGTCATCTGTCATTCCACATCAAAAATATATTCTCAAAAAATGGTAATTAAAGGATACTTTAGTAGTATTAAGAGGGTGTAATCAAAATTATGAATATTAAGAAAAACATAAAACTGATCTATATTTCAAGTTCCAAAGTTGTATTAAACCAAGAGAATAATCTTTAATATTCCCATTACTTAGAACAGAAAAAAATAAAACTTGCAGTAAATAATAAATACAAAGACCTCACTATTCCAAGCTTATAAAGTCAGAAAATACAAAGATTCAAAAGGAACAAATATTTAAATAGCACAGCTATAAAATGCCACTAGTAAAATGTAGCATTTACCAAGCCATTACGTTCATGACACAACAGGACTACAAAGGCTTCTCATATTAAGTACACAGGAAGTGGTAGGGTCCCATCTGTGGAATTAAACCATGTAAGAACAGTATTATGACTTCTTTCCACTCAGTCAACTACCAATCAATCGATGATCAAAACTGAGAAGTTTCCAGAGTCACTTTCTCTTTTATATTAAGATTCTACTATATGTGCATCAGCAAGCTTGAAGCAGTGAAATTGTGGAATTTTAACTGACCATCATTAATAGAATTCATGAAATAGTTTGCAAAGAACTATTAAATACATAGATAAAGCAAAACAGTTTTCTTCTGCATTGCTTTGTACAGTTTCCACATGCTGTTTACTACGGAGAAGTAAGGGAGCTCTGGCAGCTTCATGGATGGAGGTATGTATGCACCAAAGGCGGCACTTCTCAGGCAGTTCACATCCACCAGTGGCTCCAAGAGAAGAAAGATGGGCAATCGTCTCCTTGTCATTTACAACCTCTTAAAGTCTATGAGTCGGCTCCGACTCAATGGCAGTAAAAAAACAGATGAGTAAGAATTTAGCTATACACCACAAAATCAGAAATTAAATTTGGAAAAAATAATAATTGGCAAAATACTGTAGCCCACTAGGTCTCTGAGTGATTACCCACTTTAATAAGAGACATATTATTAACGGCATTAGTGGAAGGGATGTCCAAAGGGACTAGAAAGCATGTCCAAAACTCAAACCCGCTGCCAATGAGTTGATTTCAACTCTTAATAACCGTACAGGACTGCACTGTAGGGTTTTTGAGGCAGTAAATCTCTGTGGGAGCAGATTATCATATCTTTCTCTCATGGAGCAGCTGTTGAATTTGAAGCTCAACCTTTCAGATAGCAGTACAACAGTTAACCCACTGTACGGCTCCTGATAAAGTCTAACCTGCGGCATGGATCAGCCTGGCAAAAGTGCAGAGTGTCTAAGAGTGTCAAAGAAGGACGCTGGAAGGCCTGGGCAGGCTCAGGCTAGTGGTCTTTGGCCATATCAGCTCTTTTCCCTAGTGAGCTATTCAAATATCAATTTCTTCTAAGGTTGTAAAGAATGAAAATAACTGAGAAACTTGCTAATAATGGAAAGAACTGAACAGGAAACAGACTTTTCTGCATTCTTTTCCTTTATTGGGGGAAAAAAGTAACTTTAAATTATTCTATTCTGACTTCACTTCTAATTGAAAAGATTGTTCAGGGTACAAATACTTATTGTTAACACGTTGCCACACTCTTTTAAATTGATGACTGTGCTTAGAAACACATTTTTGGGGGAGCTCTGGTGGCCTAGTGACAAGAAGCTGCACTGCAATCCCAGAGGTACACGGTTCGAATCCACCAAATGCTCTGCTAGAGAAGGAGGCGCAATATCCTCCTGTACCAGTCAGATCTGATTTGACGGTACACGCACACAAAATAATAAAAATTAAAAAAAAGAAACACATTTTTTTCCAATGTATTACTGCCATTTGCCACAACATGTTCAATAAAGTACTAAAAATCTCAAAATTCAAATAAAACTTATGCTTTTATTTATGGTTACTATCTATTTATATTTAAAATGAAGTTTTAAAATGTTTCTATTGCTTTTAATAAATTAACAAACATAATTTAGTATATTAATTATATTTAATAGCTATTAACCAGATAAAGTTTTAATTCCTATAATTAAGATTTTTTTTTTAGGTCATTAACACATTAAGAGTTATTTAGTAAGCTTTTCAATTTTTTTCCACTAGATATGTTCAACAAGTTCCATTTTCTTACCCACTAGCCTCTGGAGGAAATCTGACAGTAACCTTTCCCATCTCTGCACCTGGAAGCTCAATAAATTTCCCAACATCTTGTTTTTTCTCAGGTGCCTGAAAAGCAAGAAAACAGCACACATGTTAGACATTTAAGAAGACAATTATTCAACAAATATTTGCCTGGTACCCATTAGGTAAGAGGTTATGAGAAAAAATTATAACTAGAATATTGTCCCTGCTCTTGAAGACTCAAAATCTGGTAAAGGAAAGAAATATTCCAAAACCCTTTAAGGAGTCCACCTGAGGGAAGAAACAGCATCCAGGGTTATCAAAAAAAGCCTGAAGGGAAGGTAATAGTAAGCTGGAACTTAAAGAGAAACTCATCACATGGATGGTGAATGTCATGCATTTCACAGGTGGGAAAAGCAGCAACAGTGGAGCAGCACAACTGACTGTCATGAGACAGAGCTGACCCGGGACTGCTACCCTTCGGAGCCAGAGCAAAAAGCCTTCACTCCAGCATGCTCAAGCACTGAGGGGAAGATGCCATAATTGGCAGGATTAAGAAAGCTTTGCCGCCACTACTCTCTCCATTTTGCTGTAGTGGTGATGATGTGCATGGTGCTGTGATGCTGAAAGCTCTACCACCAATATGTCAAGTACTCATTTGAATGTAGGTTTCAGTGACACTTCCAAACTAAGACAGACTAAGTAGGAATGGCCATCCACCTCAAAATGAAAAGGTCTTCAAAAGCTTATGTATATCAGAAAAACACTGCTGGAGGAAGTGTAACCAGATTTGTCTTGAAGGAAGTGCAACCAGGGTGTGCTCCTCAGGGGTAAGGATGGTGAAACTTTTGTCTAGTGCACCCTGGGCATGTTGTCAGAAGAATTTACCAAGAGGCCCCTTCCAGAACTGGAGGTTACAAAGAGCCAGCAAATCATTATCTTGGTATGCTCACTTGTGGTAACCACCTGGGTCCACCTGATGAGTGGAAGTGAGAGGCACGCAACAATGAAGGAGAAAGGCTGAGTGGGGACGTGTCCCACTGTTGCCTGTTGACATAGCACCACACATATACTAAGCATATGTGAAGAGGGGCTGCTGGCCTGACGAACAGGTAGTTGCATGAGCACTTCTGACTTGTTAAGTTCATGTCAGGAGAGTAAAAGAATCAGCCAGTTGGAAGATATGTGGATACCAGAGTTTATGACTGGTGATCTTCAGACCTAGCCAGGGATGGTTATAGATGAACTAGAATCTGACCAGATGGACAGAATATGTTTGATGCTGTGAGTTAGTACAGTCTGCTGTAATCTGATATGTTTATTGTGAACTAGACTCTGCCTATAGTTGCAGATGCTCACAATTCCAACTGACACAGAAGATTCCTCAAAGAAACATACTAGTTTCTTCAAAGTACTGGTTTGATAGGGTCAGGAAAATAAAAACAATTTACTATCTAAAATGGGGGAGGATAAAGGCATGAAGCATGAAGTAATAGAGGCATGAGTTACTAGAGGTGAGAGAGGACTGTTATTCCATGCTGCCCTACTCTATTTACAATAATAGATAAGACACAAAGGTACAGAAAAAAGGGTCCATAAAAAATCTGATAAAGCTGGAAAACCATGTTAGATGGTAGAGGAAGTATAGATGTGGATTATAATAAAGCACTTGTAAGATATGGTTAAAAATAATACCTGGGACAAGGAAGAGTTTAAACCAAAGAAAAACAACCCAATTCACTGCCATTGAGTGCGATATCAGAGTATATAAATCACATGGGAGGAGACTGCCCATTCTCCTGGAAGAGCAGGTGGTGGGTCTGAACTACCTTTCTTTGGGCTGGCAGTCCAACTCTATCAACTAGGCCAACAGCCATCAGAGCTCCATCAGCCATCAGACCTCAAACTAAAGAGATACCAAAACTAGAAAATTCAATTACAACATTATGGCATAAACCTGAGCAGTGGTCATGGGACCACAATTTAAAGCGATGCCAGTGGAGATAGCTAGAAAACATACACATACACACACACAGAGCTATAGAAAAGTATTAACAGGACCTGCTATCGATTAGATATGAAAAATGGTGGAGATGAATTAGGACTTTGTAGCTTACACTAATAAAAAGCATGCATGCAGCAATTTCTAAAATTTACTATGCTGCAATATCCTCATTAAACCGACATTTATTATACATTCCTAATGTGTAAAAGATAAAAAAACCACTACCCTGACTAGGAAAAGGACTTTTTCTCTACTTGTCACATAGTCCCAAAGAAGTAACAAGAAGTCTTTACAGAATCCCAGCACACAATAGTCAAAAAACAAAGAGGAAATTTTGAAGGCAGAAGAGATTGTTTAGCTATAAAATAATGAGATTTTAGTCATGTGAATTCTGGACCACCTTTGGGACACATTGTGAATGACTAAAATGTTTTAGATATAAATTACCAAGATTAGGGATTTATGTTGTCAAACAGTTTAAAGATTAATGGAAGATTCTTCCAACCAGAGGTGTTTGTTAATTTATTAAAAGAAAGACAAAGTTTGTAAGAATAATTTTCTTTGAAGACATACAGTGTCAGAAAAATGGAAGTGTCATCATTAAAAAGAAAAAAGCTTACCACCACTTTTGGTTTGGTTGTTGAGACGTTCCACTTAGAACCTACAGACTGGAAGGCCTGCTGGGCTTCAAGGAACCCAAACCAGCGCTTCACATGAACTGGAGCTTTATTCTCTTTCAACTGTTCTTGCCAGGCAGCATTTCCTATTGGAGAACATAATTTGAAACACAATTAGTATATCTGCAATTTAAAAGAATAACCATAGTGGTTAACCTGAAGAAAATAAATAGCTTACAGTTGTAATTCTATATTGAATGTTTACAATATGTATATATGCTGCAATGTTTTCTAATACATTTCCAGCCCTCCCTTCAATTCACTAATGTTTTATGTAATAATAAATCTCACAGTTGCCCTCCACACAACTCTAAAGCCAATGATATATTTTATAACAATGGAAAAGTTATTAAGTAGGTCAATAAGAGAATGAAAGGCAATCAAAATGATCAAGTAGCTCATTTCCTCAAAGCTTTTATTAAAAATAAGTACTAATAATGTTTAACAATTGTTTGTTGTTGTTTAATGCCATCGAGTCGTAGACGACTCATAGCGACAGCCTGAGCACTGTTCGTACATAGAGTTTCCGGAGGCAAGCCATTTTGGAAGTGGATGCCGCTCCTGCTTCCAGGCTTGATTTAGTCGGGAAGCTCCAGCCAAATAGAAAGTGACAATCTTAAGAGCATCACAGAAGCATACTACATCACTTTCAAAAGAAAAAAAGTCAAACCCTAAGACAGTAAATATAAACTTATACCAGAAAATCTAACACAGGCTTTCTTATATACTAGTTATTGTTAAATTTAATTTGAAGACAAATTTATGCTACAGAAGAGTAAGAAACAATACAAAAACACCAAGTACCCAAACACCCAGATAATTAGAATTACTTTAAAAATCTTACCATATTTACATCAGCTTTTAAAGATATGGAATAACCTAAAGAAATTCAAGTTCCCTTCGTACCTCATCTCAATCCCATTCTTCTCCCTCTACTTGGTAAATTTCTGTCAAATGTTAATACACTCACTATAAACCCTTCTCAGTCACAGCCATAATTTTGCAAAGGTCATATAAAGCAAACTAATACATTTCAAGCTTTCAAGAAATCAAACACTGCAATGCTATCAGAAAGGTATTCCAAATAACTTTATTAGGCACCCTAAGCAACCATTCACAGTCCATACTTTGCCTTACACATGCTACTGAAAAGCATACTCACTGGAGAGCTCCCTATCTAGTTTTTTTGGTTTCTCTATGATCATCTACAACTTTACAATCAGAACTGTATTTATTCAAAGTTCCAATTCCTTTCTAGTCTTTTTCCTCAGAGGATCTTATGACAGAAGACCATGTCTAACTATAATCTCCTGTAGTTCTCTCTGGGCGGGGTGTGTGTGTGTGTGTGTGTGTGTGTGTCTTTATAAAATCTGTAGTACACAACCAACTATCTTTCCCTGGCTACCAGAAATTCTTCTTTTCCCCAAATTTCAGCTTCTGCTTCAACTCAGTGACACCTTCAGAATACACTAGGGGTTATTTTTCCAAATAATTTTCTTGTTGTTATCATGAAATAAGAATTTCCTTTATAAAACTCTACTTTCTAGGAGATAAAACTATTATCAAGGCAAGGAAAACGTCTATCTTTTTGCTTAGTAAGTAGTGCTGCTAAGACTATTTGCATATAACGTTTTTGTTGTAGCACCTCTGATCAATCTTTTTCAGTGCATACTCAAGACTAATTGTTAGGTGATTTAATAACTGACTTCTGAGGAACTCACAATTCTTTTTCATACATTTTCTAGGCACCTCTGACACTTATTCTCATCCTCCTTCCTACACATTAGAACCTAAAATTTCTGTATTCTTCCTCAACCCTAGCATCAGCTATAAGTTCATGAAGTCAATATTTAACTGGTATTTCCAGCATGGATGAAAGTAACTACCCTTCCAGACTGGTGGATCAGAAAAGGATGGGCATGAGGAATTTTTAGAAGTGATTCATTATTTCAAGTGGGTTTAAACTGCATTCCACAACTTCTACAGATAGCAAAACTTAACAAATTTTACATTAAACACAAGCTGTTTGTAAGCTGGTAAAATCATATTCTTACTAATTAGCTATGTAGCTATGAAACAAGTAGGGACTTCCCAGATGAATACCAACTTGATTACCCCGAGCCTCCATTGAAGAACTACATTCAAGTAGAGACAACAAAGTCTACGGTACAGGAAGTGCTGAGACAGAAAAGGAGTGACATAGAAGAGATGAAGGCTTCTTTAACAGGAACAAGGTCAGTTTCAAAAGTAAGAGCATACCTCACATAGTAAGATGGAAGGAAACAAATGAAATGTAGGATAACAATCTGGAACAAGGGGTACATAGACTGGAGGAGGAAGGGAAAGAAAATGTTCAACAATGAAAAAAAAAAGATGGAAACTAACAAGAAATAGTAGAGAATAGGAAATTCCCATGCCTAGCTAGCAAAAGAGAACATGGGGGGGGGGGGGGGGTATCAAGCAGTCATCCCTCTGTAACAAAGCTCTAAGCTACTGCAACATAACATAGACACAGGTGCGTGGACATATATGTACTATCAATAAAACCTTAAATAACTATAACAGAGTGTTCCTTAAGAATTACTGATACCAGTCCACAATTAAGGTTGCATAGTGGAGTGTGTCCTTGGGGTGGTGGGAGGGATGCGGGGGTATTGTATTATCAAAGAAAGAATTTTTCTTTTACTTTTCAAAGAGAGGAGCGAACTGGTGCGGGAGGGCATGGGGGAGGGCTAGGCAGGGAGAAAAGTGCAAGAATGAATGAATGAATGAATGAATGGAAATCCAAAATCTCTGTAAATGTTCATTAAAATTATTAAACCTAAAAAAAAAAATTTTAAAAAAAGAATTACTGATACCTCTGAGGGTGGCCCAAACACATAAATCTGCTAAACTCAAGGAGTTTCCAACCAAGTATGTTCTCAGAGAGAGGCAATGATTGAGTTCGTTGGTTGCAGAAGCAAACAGATTACGTGAAGACAACTTGGTAGCACTGAATTCCAACCAGTGATCGATCTGTTAATACAAAAGAGAAGAATGAAATCATGTATTCCACAGTTTAGACTTAGGAGGGAAAAATAAAATCAACTTGTACTCAAGGTCCTACTGGAACAGTTGGTATGAGATTAACATTTTATGCTCAGAAGCTAAAAAAAAAATATCAAAATAAAAAGGAAAATTACTATGAAAATATAAGCAAATCAAAAATCCTTAAATTGTACTATAATTTTTATGTTATTGTGTTCAAGTTCTTAAATAGAATAGCTATACATGAAGATACGGAAGTTGTCAAAAATGCCATCGACTGATTTATTACCAACAAGTCAGAACCAACTCGTTGTTGATCCTCCAGCAGGTTTTCAGAGGCTATAAACTGTTCAGGAAGAGAATGCCCACCGTTCTAAAGAGGAGCAGATCGGGGATTCAAACTACCTCCTACCTTGGGGCAGCAGCACAACTCCTTCCCACTAGGACACCAGAGTCCCTTTTGATATGTCAAAGTTGTTAATCAAAATAAAACAAAACATTCCTTACCTCAGTATGTTCCATGAGGTTAGAACCATAAAGCCCAGCTGAAGTTGCAACTCGAGCCAAGTAGCGAAGTATGGAATTTACATCTGTGAACACCACATTTCTACAATATAATCAGAAAATAAAATATTAACCTGTCATCTAATGAATTAGGACAAAGTAACGCATGAGGTTTATAAGGAAACACCAAAATAAAAACCATATTAAATTTCTCATACATATCATTCTATATAACAAAAACAAATCAGCCAATTTGTTCCTTATTTATAACAAACTCTTAAGTTGTTTTAGAAACATTAGCTAAACTCAACAATTCACTTCAAAACAGTTTTTCTATGATGCTTCATCCTGCTAAAAGTTTCTATATTAATGTTCAGTAGTGAAAATACAAAATTAAAATTGAGATTTTAAAAATAACAAGTTTGTGTGACATCCATAGTCTCCCCTGGCTACTGGTACTGGGCCATCCCAATCCAGGCTCTGAGCCCCAAACCTTCACCCCTGTTCAGAAGGAAGTAGAAAGAAAGAAGAGTCGCCCTTTTTCTCATTAAAGAGGCTGGGAAGTCAGGCCTGGACCAAGGTCAAAGGAAGAATAAAGGATTCAAGGACAAGCAACATGCCAACAAAGGGAGTGAACAGCCATGAGTGCCCTCCCTGGAAGACCACCCACCTGGCTAAACCACAATGGAATGTCCCTCCCTTCTCTCCCTAAAGACCCTCACTATAAAACCTGCCCTAATGCACTTTAGAGTGAGGTATTTCCCTGGTCTGTCCCTCTGCCTGTTTCTCCCTCTGCAAACCAAGGAATCCTGCCTGAGACCCCTTAATAAAGCTTCTTTAGCTTCCTTTAAAAAAAAATAAATAAATAAAGCAAGATAAAAAACAAAAAAACAAATCAAGGTAGAGAATGCGCATATAACTTCAGAAAGTAAGTTTATCAACCTCCAGGAAAAGACATCAGATTATGACTCCCATCTAAAACCTACCTAGTTTATCACAGGGAAAAAAAACCAAACCATAAACAAACCAAAAATCTTTACGGTACAAACTCATGGATAAAACTACAGTGAAATTTCAGAAGTTAAAAAGCAGAAAAATATGTTGTTGTTGTTATGTGCCATCAAGTCGTTTGCGACTCATAGCGACCCTATGTACAAAAGCCCTAAACCCAGCTCTATCCTGTACCAATCTCATTGCCCCTGACACACCCATCCCGATTACCCCAGTCACTGAATCAACCCACCTAATAGAGGGCCTTCCCCTCCTGCGTTGTCCCTCCACTCTGCCCAGCATGATGTCCCTCTCTAAAGACCTGTCTCTCCTTACAACATGTCCAAAGTATGTCACACGAAGCCCCAGAATCCTTGCCTCCAAGGAGCAGCCTGGTTTAACCCTCTCTAGGTTGAATCTATTTGTTTTCTTGGCAGTCCAGGGTACATTCAATACTCTTCTCCAGCACCACAGCTCAAAGGTGTCAATTCTCCTTCTATCCTCCCTAGTCATTGTCCAAATGTGATGCATAACAAGTGATTGCAAAAACCATGGCCTGTATCAGGCGCACCTTAGTCTCCAGAGAGACACCTTTGCTCTTGAGTACTTTAGAGAGGTCCCTAACCGGAGACTTCCCCATCGCAAAACGTTTTTTGATTTCCTGGCTACTGGTGTCAAGAATGTTGACCATGGAGCCAAGCAAACTGAAGCTGTGAAAAATCTCAATCTCTTCACCATCCATTCTGATGCTACCGATTGGTCCAGAGGTGAGAATTTTTGTCTTCTGGACATTGAGCCTCAGTCCATACTGAAGGCTGCAGTCCTTGACCCTCTGCAGTAAGTGCATGAGATCCTCCTCAGTTTCAGCGAGCAGGGTTGTGTCATCTGCATAACGCAGATTGTTGATAGATCGTCCACCAATCCTAACGCCATGCTTCTCCTCATAGAGCCCAGCCTCTCTGATAATCTGCTCTGCATACAGGTTGAAAAGGTATGGAGACAGGATACATCCCTGGTGTACACCCTTCCCAATTTTGAACCATGCGGTGTTGCCCTGCTCTGTTCTGACGACTGCCTCTTGGTCCAAATATAGGTTTCGCATTAGCACGATTAAATGTTCTGGGATTCCCATTCTTCTCAGAGTCAGCCACAGTTTGTTATGATCCACACAGTCAAATGCCTTTGCATAATCAATGAAACACAGATAGACATTCTTCTGGTATTCTCTGCTTTCAGCTTAGATCCATCTAACATCAGCAACAATATCCCTAGTACCACGACCCCTTCTAAACCCAGCCTGGACTTCTGGCAGTTCTCTGCTGATGTACTGTTCGAGTCGTTTTTGGATAATCTTCAGTAGAATCTTGCTTGCATGTGAAATCAATGATATTGTTCTGTAGTTTCCACACTCAGTTGTGTCGCCCTTCTTTGGAATGGGAACAAATATAGACCTCTTCCAGTCAGTTGGCCAAGTGGTTTTTCTCCAGATTTCTTGGCACAACTTGGTGAGCACATCCACGGCAGCATCTGTTAGCTGAAATATGTCAATTGGTATACCATCTATTCCGGGGGCCTTATTTTTTGCTATTTCCTTCAAAGCAGCTTGAACTTCTGCCTCCATCACCATAGGCTCTGACTCAAATACTATTTCATGAAATTCTTCTGTATCTGCCAATTCCTTTCGATACAATGACTCAGTATATTCCTTCCATCTTCTTTTGATACCTCCTGGATCATTTAACATTCTGCCTAAAGCATCCTTGATGCAACTCGAGGTTTGAATTTGTTCCTCAGTTCCTTGAGCTTAAGAAATGCTGAACGAGTTCGGCCCTTTTGATTTTCCAACTCTAGCTCCTCGCACATTTCATTGTAGTATTTTGCTTTGTCATTCCGTGCTGCCTTTTGGAATCTTCTGCTCAGCTCTTTAGTGTCCTGGATTCTTCCTTGTGCTTTGGCTTCTCTACGTTCCAGTGCACTCTTCAGAGTTTCTTCTGACATCCATTTTGGTCTTTTCTTCCTCTTTTGTCTTTGTAATGACCGCCTGCACTCTTCATGAATGATACATTTAACATCCTCCCACAACTCATCTGGTCTTCGCTCATTAGTGTTCAAGGCCTCAAACCTATTCCTGAGATGATTCTGAAATTCAGGTGGTATGAAATTAAAGTGGTATTCTGAAATTCAGGTGGTATGAAATTTTGACTCCTGTGGATTCGGTTTAATTTTCCTCAGCTTCAGCTTGAACTTGCATATGAGTAGTTGGAGAGAAAAATATAGATAACCTAAAAAAACTAAATCTTAGGAAGATGGTGGACAAGCTGAGAACCAAGTCCAACAGACATTTTCGAACCTCCAGGAGACTTACAAATATATGAAACCAGCATGTCAGCAGTGAATAACAGTAAGGTAATGATAACATAAACACTGGAGGTGTTCTAACCAGTTATGATTCAGCTACTCTGGAGGAAAGGGGAGATAGGACACAAGGAAGGAATGAGCATTCAGTGACTAGGTATGTGTGCTGGCAACACTGGTGTGAAAAAAAGCCCTTCTTAATATTCTATAGCAGAAAAATAAACTGAAAACTGAAAAACTAAGGTGAAACAATAAAATCATGTTACTGAGAGATGGATATCAAAGCCAAAAGCATCAATTCAAGATTTGAAATACTTGCTCCCAGGCAGAAAAACTGGAAGAAAGAGATGGCTGGCATTTTTCTCCTTTTTGCTTTTTCTTAAACAAACACTCATACAGCATTAAGACAATAAAGGATTGTCATATACAGCACTGAGAATAACTATAAACATTTTCCATTATCAAAAATTTTCACAGCTAATTAACATCCCACATGTTGTGAACTTACTATAGGCACTGAGGTATGTTTTATTATTGGGTATCACTGTGTCGGAAGTGACCCACAGCTGACTTTCAGAGGTTTTCAGAGGCAGTTAATAGCACGGAAGGAGAATGCCCATCCTCCCATGGAGCAGTTGGTGGATTTGAACCACATGTCTTTGTGATTGCAGTGCAGCTTCTTACCACTATGGCACCAGAGCTCCACATCAGTTCTTTATATTGCTCATTATTACTGATTGAGAATATTGCCAACATTCCAGCAAAATGAATTACAATGGAATGTAAAAGTCTTATATGTAAATCTTTCAGTAAATTATCCAGAGTCAACTTGAAGTCTTGTGGTGGAAATATTTTTAAAAAATGAAGAGAAGCCTCCTTCTCTCTAGGGGCAATCTACCTAATCAACAAATTTTAGAAATGCTGTTCAATACAGAGAATAAGAATATAATAACACTTACTCAGAAACACGAAGAATATTCTCTTTCCCTTCTTCAACGGAAATACTGACTATGTCTTTTACATGTTCCAATGTCAGCAAAGCTCCTAAAAACAGAAGATGTGAAGATTTTTCACACTGTAATAAAGTTTTTACAGCTTGAATCATAAGTCAACAAACTAGTATTAAGTCCCACAAGCTGCAAAAATATGGAACAACAGCACCCACATATGGCTTTTAGAATCCATGATACACTGGAAATGGCTGCGTTAGGAAAGAAGAGTCTGGAAAATCTTATACTAGAAAACAAGAAGTATTGGAAGAATAACAAGCATATGTCAAAGGGGCTCAGAAGATAACCTGGAGGGCTCCCAACTGCACATGGG